ACAAGTTTGTGTAAGCCGAGATTCCACCCGGCACTTTCACATCTAGGGGGTGGTCCAGGGCTTCCCCTGACCACCTTCATGAACAATGCGGAGATAGCAGCCGCTACCCGCTTCCACTCTTCATGGGAGATGGCTCCATCTCCCCTGCTGCTGTCGTATACCCCGAGCTCAATTGAGCTGGCGAGTTTAGCGATTTCGCTTAACATCGGTGCCGCTCCGACTCGAGGCTTCTTACCGAGGGAGGATTCCCCCTTCTGCGACCTCTGTCGCTTCATCGACTCGGGCGGTACGCTCGGCCCCCCTTTCCCGACATTGACGTCGCTTAGCACCATTTTGGCCCACTCAAGTGTGCTAGCATGCTGATCAGTTTCCTGGTCAGCCTGCTTGCCACCGTAGCGCTCCAAAATCTTGGTAGCCAGGCGACGGTCCGACTTCAGCTTTTTAGCTGTAGTCTGGCGTTTCCCCCTGGAGCCCTTAGCTTTCACTGAGAACCCCGCGCCCCCCATGTATTTTACAGAGGTTCCTCTGCTAGTGCTGGCGATTCCGCCGCGCACTTCTGCCCTGCCTAAGGTGTCCGTCGGCAGATTCCTGCCCACTCCCCCCACGTTACCGCCCCTAGCGATGGTAAGCCGGTCACCCCCGGAATTATTCTTCTCACCCTTTGGCGGAGACGGTTTCGTCCCCATCGGTGAGGATGCCCCCTCCAGGGAACTGTCCACTTTTGAAGAGGTCGATTTCGACCCGCTTTCTCCCTCGTCCTTGTTTAAGTTTTGTTGTTGTTTTGTGTTCATTGTAATTGGGTCCCCACTCAGACCCGCTATCCGTCTCCTGAAAAGGTAATCGCCTTTAAATGGTCCCAAGGTTGTCTCGGTTACGAGGCCAAGGCGAGGGTTGACGCACGCCCTTATGAGGCAGTGCGTTCAGAGCCGACCAGCGCAAAGAAGGAGTCATCTCAACAAACACCTACCACACCAACTTAATGATGACAGGAGGGTAACGTACTCTGAGGCCTGCCATGGTTTTAACGGGACGGAGGCGGCCTTGGTATTAGCCCATCAGCCATTTCTGCAGGGTGTCACCCCTACATACTCAGGTGACAGAATACCACGACCACCAGCCCAGGGTTCAAACCGATCCATCTAATAGTCCAAGCTAAGTCCGTGTCGAGCAAAGGTCAAATCCATAGGAGTTATAAAGGCCGTGAAGGCCGCAGGTTAATTGTGGTTTGTTTGCGCTCAGCGGCGTGTATTGAGGCGGAGGCGTAACTCATCTAGCCAATATGCAAAGCACAGTATTGCTAGCTCTATAAAACTAATAGCTGTTAGAAAATTCAATTAGACCGCAAAGTTTTAAAAGCGGGTTTGTTTAAATATTTCAATATTAATATTTTGGTTCTATACAGAAATTCCACTTTCTCTGTCAGACATTTAATCGTAGAACTTCAGACAGCCGTTACTTCTGAGTTATGCAATCATAATGTGCTAATTGTTGGAGATTTTAACATTTGTTTAATGTCTACAGGGACTGTAATACTTCGTTCAATTACGTATTGCTATATAATAACCGTTATTACATATAATTTCATTTCTTAATTAGATTACCCATATTTTCTTACGAACTATCCAAAACCTGTCAAAATTCTATACCATTTCAATTCAGTATATTTGGAAAAATGAAACTATTGCACTAAGTCAAAACTTTAGACTGAAATAGAACTAAAATACTGTCATAATAGCTGTAATACTGTTTAAAAGTGATTCATTTACGAGGAAGGATCCATGTTTGAAATGCCCAATCGGTTGTGTACCAGCAGGTGTAGTTAGATATTCTGCAAACCGGGAACAAAAGTTTTTCTTGGAACAGATTTCTTGGCCTGA